CTTTGTTTATTAATGCAAGTCCAAGTCCAGTTTATCCACAAAACCAACAAACACGTTCATATTCTCGCTCAGAAGCAATTCAGATGGAGGAACCGGCCAGCCTCTCCCTATACAAACGAAGTGCTGTATTAGCTGACTCCTTTCTCTTTCCCAAAGTGGACAATGAAAAACTATATGCAAAAGGTTTTGCTCAGCTTGGCCATCACAAGGGCAGGCAGGAGGATGAAGGGACGTGTCCAAACTGTTTGCGGTAGGCCAGGCACTTGCCATGACCTGAAATCACTTGGATGATTTTGTAGTTGTCCGGAATAACGAGCTTCCTCCTGAATGCCAGGGAGGGGACAAACATCTTTGTATGGGCCGCCTTAGTCGTTTCCCGCCATGTTTCTTCCCATCTTGAAAAAGCTTCCTGCTCCAGTCTCTTCTGAAAAAGGCTCTTAGGGTGTTTGTAGTAGATTTCTAGACTTTCATCCCTTGATGCCGATTTTGCCAATTGGTCAGCTTCTTCATTGCCGAAAATCCCGATGTGTGCCTGGACCCAATAAAAAATTACTGTTCCTCTCAAATCTTCGATGACTATGACAAACTTGTAAAATAAAAAAATCACTTCGTCCTCCTTTAATTGAGGCCAGAATGTAGTACGGAAAACTCTCCAAATGCCCTGATAATATGGGATGGATCCACATTTTTCTTTTCCTTATTTTTTCTTTGCCGTAATAACAATAATGACGTTAAAATGGGCACCACTTCATCATCGAGGTTCTTGTTTGGAATTGACAAAATATTTAAGTTTAAAACTGCTTTTGAACTTCTTTGACCTAATGATGTGTTGAACTGACATCGGACTATCCCAAAGACATTTGACATCATGCCATGTGTGAACATTTTTCACGGTTATCAATTCGACAGTCAACAAACAAAAACCTCTCTATGTGAACTTACTTGGTCTTACGTCGGTCGTTTATACATTTCAGCTTTACTGGCATGTACTTCTAACAAAAATGAAAACACAATTTTTTTTATATTTTAATTTATTGCTGAATATTTATTGAAGTAATATATTGAACTATGATCTAGCTATTTCATTAAAAGCAAATATTGATTTTTAAAAATTTAGTATTCCATTTCTAATACAGAAATTCAATTCATTTGAAGATAAGGCAATATTCAAAATAAGAAACAAAATCGATTTGAGAAGAAAAAAATATACATATAAAAAAATTTATGTAATTTATTTATTTAGAAATCGTGAGATGCGGTCTGGTGTGATGTAGGTTTCACAAAAACATTTTCTTTATTGTGCCAACGTTTTATATATATTTTTTTATATATTCAAACAAAGTATTTCTAAAAAAAGTAAAAAAAAAATTTTGCATTGTATAAATTCATTTTTCCACATCCAAAATGTAATTGTAATATATAAACAATGTTTGTAAATCCCAGGCCCTGAAGATGATCTCAATAAAGATCGAAACGTTGACACGATAAAGAAAATGTTTTTCTGAAACCTACATCACACCAGACCGCATCTCACGATTTCTAAATAAATATCGATTAACGGTCACTAATCACCACACAAATTTATGTTATTTCTATGTACATGACTCTATATATTTAAAATTACCACAAATAAACAAATATAAAAATCTTTGTATAGCTTACATGATGAAGAAGCATTCAATCCTAACTGTTTTTAACGGTGATCGCCGAATCTACTGAAAATTTGAAACATTTGGAACTTGTCGAGTCGAAAGAACTACTAATCGACGGAAGCGAGGCTGGTGAATTTGTCAATGAAGAAGCGTCCTTTTCTAAAAATTCCAAAATCCCTTTTTGTATGAATTGTTTGAGTTCTTTTCTAATCCCGTCGTTAGTGATGCTCCTCAGTTCACTCGCTACAAAGTTGCCGAATACTTGGCAGTCGTCATTTATCCATTCTTTGAGGCGAAGGCCCGTCGATAATGCTTCTTTGAGAACCGCTTCTGACTTGTCTGCCGCTGAAACTTCAACCTACAGAAAAATAAATGGTCAAAAGCATAAAAATCAACTGAGTAAAGCATAATGTTAAACAGTACCTCATCTGTAGAATCGTCGTATTCCAAAATAGACTGTTTTTCCCTGTTTCTATGATAGACACTTTTATATTTTCTCACTTTCAGTTGGTTTGAGGTATCAGGATGATATACACTTGTAACGGCTACAAATTAAATATATAATGAAATCTCTGCAATTTAACAGAAAATGTCTAACCACAGTTACGAAGGAAAAAGATATGACATAAAACCTAAATGTAGCCTTTACTATTGGTTAATATAAAATATCAGTTAATTATAAAGCAGCTATGGCATTGATAAAATAAAACTTATAATTAGAATCTCAAAAACATTCTAAAATCACGTTATTCACTCACCTCATTTTAAGATGAGACATCAAGAGAAATCAATACCATAACACTGAAATAAAAATAACTAGTTTTTTTATTTATGGCCACCATACAAAAAAATGGTACAACTTAAAAAATCAAACCATCGGAATGCTAAAAATAAGTTTTACAGAAAAACCAACAAAGAATCGAGATTGACTATTCAAAGATTTATTTACACCCTCTAATCGTAAACACAAGAAGGAGATTTTATGTGTGTTTTATTTACCTCTAATCCTTTAAAACTGATCAAATATTGTTGTAAGATAATGGAGGATTATCTAAGAGATAATTAAAAATATTAAGGGTGGCCATTTTTTGCTTCTCAGGTAGCATTTAAATTTCTCCCAAATCCATATCATCTGTCTCCTTACAAATTTCAATTTTTTTTATCCTACGTTAAAGAAAAAAAATTGAATGATATATAATAATGTTGAAATACATGCACAAGGAGTATCAAAACCAGGTTTAAATAAGTGTGCAAATTGCTTAAAATTTTCCAGCTCCTTTTGGCAAACTCTCGAAACTGAGTGCAATATTTTAAGACCTAGTTCACAAAAAAAAAGTATTTTATCAACATCAGTGATCCCTTTCTGTAGTATCCCCTTGTAAGCTACAAATTCATCAAGAGGAAATCTTACAAACTAACAATAATTATGTTACAACTTTATATTTTCGACAAAATATATTTATTTGATTTTATTTGTTATTTTATTCAAACTCTTTTGCAAAATAAATACAAAAATTCTTCAACTTGTCTCGTACCCACCTGGTAAACTCATTCGCTCTTTTCCTAAATTAATTTTCGTCGATATGTCCGCGTCTTCCTTGTCTATCAGGTTCACTTTATTGAGCGTAGGCACTGCTCCAGGTTTTAAAATTTTCTTCTGCCTCATCTGTAAAAGCTCTGCCCTCAGGTTGCGTTCAAAATCGCTCCCCTTGAAATGCTGAGAGCAAATCGCTGAAGTGTCGGGGTTAAACTTGTCCTTCCTTTTACAAAAATGTATCCAAATCTGTCTGAGCTGTTTCTCTTTCGGGAACGTAAAGTAGGAGACGGTATTTGGACCAGACAAATGCCTCGTCTTGTAACCGTTGTTGCCACAAGTGGCTACAGCACAATTCACAGGCATATTAGAGATCTACAACAAATAAAAAAGAAGTGATTTGAATTTTTAAAATACACTGATTTTATAAATAAAACTTTTCAGTAAAATAATTTCTTATTTAAGTTATAAATAGTATTTAATTTGTTTTAATTAAAACAAAAGTTAGATCAAAAAATAGCTTAATTTAAAAAAATATGTCATACATCATAAACGAAATATTACATCAAACTAACTTCATGTAGCTCACGTCCCAGAATCAAAGGCAGTGGTTGATACGAATCTTCTAAAGAACTCGGTTCAAACTCAAACTTAGGAGTCGGAAAACTCGGGCCACAATAAACTGAGTCTTGACGGTGCGATTCTTTTCCAGGTTGTGAAATAATCTGAGCTTTGAAGGTTGGTGACCTGTCCATTTGTTCATCGGAAAGATCCTTAAAACAAGTTTCTACGTAAATAAATAATCTAACAGTTAGAAGGCTAAATTAATCTTTCTTTACACAATTTACTAACCTCCTCAGTTTTCACATCTTCCCTCTTGGGGCAAAGGCCTTTCGTAGGGCAAGCCCCGGGTTTCAACCTCTTCCTATGTTTAGCGAAACCTAACTCGGCTATCATGCTCTTTTGAAAATCGCTCGGATCGAAGTGATTGGAGCACACGAATGACGTGTCGGGATTGAATTTGTCTTTCCTTCGGCAGGCCACCACCCACAATTTCCTCAGCTCCGAATTTTTGGGGAACGAAAAGTAATTCACCTGTTTTTTAATCGGGTTGTTTCTCGTCTTGTAAAAACTGTTGCGGCACACAGCCACTGCACATGTCATTCCAGGCATTTCACTTTAGTTTTCAACTTTTCACCTTTAATATATATATACCATAAAGAAAGAATTAGAAAAACTGGCGAACATAGTTAACTTTGATTAAAAGTAGCTACAATGTTCATTCTGCAATCATAGCCTATAAAATAATACAATTTTTACATTGTTTCCTTGCATGTCAATTGAGATAAAGACAAATTTTAAGAAAGCCTGGGGACCGCGGTAGCCGAGTGGTTAGCATGAGAGACTCTCACGCCGCGGTCGTGGGTTCGATTCCCACCGTCGCCTCTGGCCCTTTTTTCCCGATAACCCCCAATTTGAACACACAAGAGAAAAAAATATACTAGGCGACCGTCCGCGTGGGTAGCTTTAATCTGTATTCCTACTAAAAAATGAAAAAAAAAAAAAAAAAAAAAAAAACCTGCTTCTGTCAAAAGAAACATAACACGAAATCGTTGTTGACTGATCATTTATAGATTCAGCACGTTATGAAGAGAATACTGTTCAATTGTAAAATATTTATTGTGAGATTTCCTCTTGGTACCTGCAAGGAGATGTCCCTGTAGTGTGGTAATTTCTGACCATATTGATCTTCCTATCCTTGCAATTTTGGTCTGACAGCTTGACCAAATAGAAAATCATTTTATCATCTTTGTTACAAAGAGCTTTCAGTCAACTGTCAAATCATACAGTACTAAATTTTAGATATAATCTTCTATATCGATTTTCTTTTTTTAATAAATAAAATAGATCATTAATTTAAATGTAGTTTGGCCCTTTCCAATCATTTTGATCTACCTGTTTGACTTGTTTCCAAAATGATTGACTTATCCCATGGTTGCAGTCCTGAAAAGAACACAAGGATCTCTTTCGTCTGCACCTAGCTCGTGCCCTTATTAGACGTTTTGATTCTCAAGGTGAGAGGCAATACACTTCTGCTTACGAGTAAATGTGTATTGCACCCACATGTTCGGTGTAGATGCCCCAGGACCAAGGCGACCATCTTCCTTACTTGCCTCTTCCGAGGAGGAGCATCAGCATTTTGCACCTGACCGTGTGCCGCATAGTGAAAAAAATCCAGAGGCATTCCCGCCACGATCCCTAAACAAAGAAGACAACACACAAGATTGAAGATAATCTCAATAAAGATTGAAACGTTGGCACGATAAAGAAAATGTTTTTCTAAAACCTACATCACACCAGACTGCATCTCACGATCTCCGAATAAAGAAGACAACTCTGCCTCCCCAAAGTGGAGGGCCCCTCTAGTGTCAGGATCTCCGGATAATGTTTCGGCCACAGTTTTCTTTTAAGAAGAATTACTAACCAACCCTTAGAGGAACTGTTTTTGGAAAAGCCAACAGGCTCACTCCAAGTACCCGCCAGGGGTCTCACCACTAAGCCACTATGAGGAGTCCTTACCCCTATCCTTACTCACATCTGACCAAATTGACTGCAGGTGTGCTGCCATTTCCTTTGTCTCATTGCTGAATTGACAATCACCTCAGTTGACACTAATCTTTCACAAATCCCAAGTTAGGCCTCTTCAGGCGAAGTAGATAGTCTGAACACTTTCACGCTTATGCTGGTGGGCATCCTTCACACCAGTTGAGTCAAACTCAATTGAGTTCTTCATGGAAAGCATTGCAATTTTCACAGTTCATTTAAGAAATTTGAATTAGTCCCACAACATGGGACCTAAAACTTGAAGGGTATAGCAATGAAATTAACAGGAATTAAGCTTGGAGGGAAGTACTGTTTCTTGATTTTGTAATAACGGATGAATCGAAACTTTTCTTCAACTGGTTTCCACAGTATACCAGCCAGACTATGAGAAACGGATCCCAGTTCATGCCTACCATATCTAGTATGGCTCCAAAATCGAATATAGACCAGAATCCTGCATTTACAGAAATAAATCAAGGACTAGAATTCATATAAACCTTGAACAATACGCTACTGTCTTTCAAGCAGAGATTGTTTATTGAACACTGTGCCAAGGAGATTAAAAGGCAGCAACAAAGTTACCCTAGTCATACAAGGGCAAGGGGCAATGAAGAGGCCAATAAATTAGACAAGGAAAGTTCAATATGGACATCTATTAACCTTGAACTCTTTTGTGACGTACTAAATTGCCAAAAATGTGGATCCACAGAATGTAGCCAAGGACAAAGACACGCAAAAAATTACATCAAATGAAACTATGTTGAATTGCAGAAACCAACATCACAACTATTAAACCTAGGACAACTTAGGACTGGAATAATAGTTGGACTGCCAACTGGACACCGCAGTCTCCAGAAGCATATGTAGACTCAGAGCAGTAGAAACAAGCCTGTGCAGATATTGTCAAGAAGAATAAAAGATAGCAGAACATGTAATGTATGTGTATGTGAAAGCTTATGTTAGTTAAGATTCCTATCCTGGGGAGGAAAAGCCAGCACCTGAAGTATACCTACTCTATGAACAAGCTATGTCTATGAAAAAGCTTTAAGGTTTGGTGAAAATGAGGAGATCTAGGCACAATATATACAATAGACCAATATCAGTAATCCTGTGCAGATCGTAACAAAAGGCTAGCTCCTACTCTAATCTTAAAGCTTCATTGTACACCAGCTAGTCTTAATTTATCGAGGAATCAATTAGAGGTATTGTGGAGGTTGACTTTTTCCATGGTTGCGTTTTACATCCCAAAAAATTTGCCTTTGCCACGATGGAAGGTCATCAATCATTTATAAAGTAGGTTTAGTACCTTCTGACTGTAATACTTAACCTATTTAGTTTGGATTTGAAATTCAATACCATTCTCAAGCTGATTACACCTGGCACTCTGGCTATCTGACATGTCTTTGTTTTTGTACTCTCTGTTCAGACTGAATTGAAAACCTCTCAATTACCTGAAATTTAGCTTAAAAGATTTGGCTTAGTTTTAGGGCAGAATACTGCACAGCTTTTTATATTTTAGTCATTTCCAATTATTTTGGTCTGCCTACCCTTGCTGCTTAAAAGTGTCAGATGCGTTTCAGCTGCTAGTCTTCTTCAGTGCTGGCTGGATAGGAGGACAAAAATGATCAGAAATGGTCAAACTACATCTCCAGGCAGACCCCCATGATGAAATTTCACAATTTAAATATTAGAACAAATTTTAATAAGTAAAGTTCATAAAATAATTCCAATAATTCAAAATAAATGCACATCACTTCTAATTGTATTCCCACGCTAATCACTTAAGGTCATTGTATTTTAAACGACTCAAACGAAATTGAACTAATGACAAAGAAATTAGAAAAAGTAGATAATGATTAGTTAGTAATTTACAGATATTTTGTGCCTGGGATGAGATTATGGGGACTTAATAGTATAAGTAAATGAAAACTATACACATACAGGATCATTTTACACGGTTTATTTACTTATGAAAAGTAGAAACTTTCTTAGGAGAAAAAAAAAATTAATTTTAAATTAATCATTTGTAATCAATAGATTATAGTTTCATCAATAAGATTTGTAATTACGGTCTTCTTTTTTACAATCGTTCTTTTTCCCAAATCTCTATAGCATTGTTTTAATGCTAATTGTGAGAAATATTATTGGGTTGTCCGGAAAATAATGCAGGATTTTGGTATTAAACAAAAAAAAAGAAACTAGTTACTTTAAAGCAATGTTCTTTAATCAAAATAATTTCCCATACTCTCAATACATTTCTCCCAACGTGTTGGTAACTTATTAATTCCGTCTGAGTAGAATTCAGAATTTTTAGAATTGATAAAGTCAATAAATGCATTTTCCAGTTCCGTTTGATTTTTGAATATTATGTGTTGTAAGTAGTGGTCCAGGTGTCTAAAAAAATGGTAGTCAGTAGGCGAGAGGTCCGGAGAGTAGGGTGGGTGAGGCAAAGTTTCATAGCCAAGCTCCAATAATTTTTGTGACGTTACACGTGACACATGTGGTCGAGCGTTGTCATGCAACAAAATGGGCCCTTTCCGATTGACCAAAGAGGGCTTCATTACTGCCAATTTCTGATGCATGGTATTAATTTGGTTACAGTATGATTCAGCATTGATGGTTTCGCCAGGATTTAAGAAGCTGTAGTGTATTAAATCAAATGAAGCCCACCATACCGTAACCATTACCTTTTTTTGATGAGTTGGGGGCTTTGGAGCTTCTCCTTTGTCGAGCCACTGTCCAGAACGTCTAGTGTTATCGTAGAGAATCCACTTTTCGTCACATGTAACAATTCTGGCCAGAAATGGGTCATTTTTGTTTCGACAAAGAAGTGATGCACAAACATCAAAGCGCTGATTTTTTGGCGATCGTTTAATGAGTGTGGAACCCAATTTTCGAGTTTTTTCACTTTTCCAATCGCCTTGAGGTGGTCAGCGACGGTCGTTTTACTGACTTTGAGTTGCTCTGCAAGTTCTCGAACAGTTGTTTTGGGGTTTTCTTCCACCACTGATCGCAGAACATCATCATTAAGAGAGGAAGGCCTTCCACGACCTTCTTCATCTTCAAGGCTGAAATCTCCCTCCCGAAATTTTTTAAACCACCTTTGCACAGTGCACTCATTAACACAACCCTCGCCCCAGACTTGGTTAATGTTTCTAGCCGTTTGGGCTCCGCTTCGGCCGAGTTTAAACTCGTAAAAGAAAATCGTACGAAATTCTCGCTTTGACATTATAAGGATGACTGAATTATTTCCAAGTAGCGGAATGCTACAGAGGTAAACAAACAATATCATTTGGAAGAGGATTAATAAGTGTTGACATTCATACAAATGAGTAATCCTGTAAACGTAAACAGAATATTTTATATAGATTTTTTTTAATGAAAACTTAAAATCCTGCATTATTTTCCGGACAACCCAATATAATCGCGCTTAAAAATCGTTTATTAATTTTTGGACTGAGATTCTTACGGATAGATCATTCGCACTGTCCCTTTTACAACTTATGAAAATATACGATATACTTAACTTCTACAAATTTATTTTGACGAAATATGAAACACTTAATGTTAAGTTTATATGAAGTAAAGTTAACAGAGTATGCTAAAATGTTTAATTATTACAAAAAACTGAATTGTGTATTGACTAATATATACCCACTTAAAAATCGATTATTAATTTTTGGGCCAAAATGGACTGAGATCATTCTCACGATAACTTCTCTAATACTAAATCGGGTTACCTTAAATTAAAAAGATATATTTTTACACTTTTGCGCTAAATATTCTTTGGCCTTTTTTGACGCTGATAAATCGAAAAGTAATTAAATTCAAGGGAAAAAGGGTAAAATCGTTGATTTACTGCATAAATTGATTGGATTCCTATCCACAACACAAATATTCCTGAAGTACCATTATTTGTTTTAACCATTTATTATTAGTATGTGTACTTTTTTTTATTTAAAAAAGTAAAAGCAGAGAATTTTTATTGAATTCGCGCTTAAAAAATCGATTATAAATTTTTGGCCCAAAATGGACTGAGATTATTACGTATAGACTATTCTCACGGTCCCTTTCTAATTCATGAAAATTTAAGAGATTCGTAACTACTGCAAATGTGAGTTTAAAAGAACAGAAAACACCTAATATTGATTAAAAATACTAAATATTACTAATAATGTATATTTATTTTAACCATTTGTTATTAATATGTTATACTTTTGTTATTTAAAAAAAGAAAAATGGCAAATTTTTATTGGATTCGTGCTTAAAAAATCGATTATCAATTTTTGGGCCAAGACAGTGAGATTCTTACGGAAAGACTCACGATAACTTCTCTAATTCATGAAAATTTGAGAGATTCGTAACTTGTGCAAATTTACTTTTACGGAATATAAATCACCTAATATTAATTACAAACGCTAAATAATTCTAATAATTATTATTTATATTATCACTTTTACAATAGAAGCAGTTTATACACGTTTTATTAATGTTAACTTGTTTGCTTTGTAATTTATAAAGATATATATTTTTAAACTTTTACCCAAAATAAAGGCGCTGATAAATTGAAAAGTCATTAAATTTAAGGGGAAAGAGGGAAAAACTTAATTAAAGAATAATTTGATTGGATTCCGTTCCACAATCCAAATATTTCTGAAGTACTATTATTTATTGTAACCATTTATTATTAATATGTATACTTTTGTTAAAATTTAAAAAAAAATCAATTATCAATTTTTGAGCCCAAATATTGAGATTCTTATAGACAGACCATTCTCACGGCCCCTCTCTAATTCATGAAAATAAAGGAGATTCGTAACCTGTGCAAATTTACATTTACAGAATATAAAGCACGTAATATTATATAATTCTAATAATTATTATTTGTATACTTTTACAGCAGGACGCACATGTTTTAATAATGTTAAATTGTTTGCCTTATAAATTATGAAGATACATATTTTTAGACGTTTACCCTAAATAAAAACGCTGATAGATCGAAAAGTCATTAAATTTAAGGGGAAAGAGGGAAAAACTTAATTAATGCATAATTTGATTAGATTCCTTTCCACAACCCAAATCTTCGTGAAGTTTCGTGAAGTACCATTATTTATTTTAACCATTTATTATTATTATTTATTTATTTGTATAATTTTGTTAAAATTCGGCGAATTATTATTACTAAACAATCGATTATAAGTACTTAGGCCAAAACGAACTAAGGTCCTTACAGATGGACCATTCTTACATGGTCTCTAATTTATGAGAATATAAGAGATTCATAACTTCTTCAACTTTAATCTTACGGAAAAGACACGTATAGTAATAGACAAAATACACCTAATATTAATTAAAAAATATTAAATTATTTTTATTTATAAGAATTTACTTTTACAAATGATGAAGGTTATATATGGTTTAATAATGTTAAAATGGTTTACTTTGTATGCATATAAAAATTTTGAAAACTTTTACCCTAAATAAAACACGATTATACATCGTAAAGTCAGTAAATTCAAGGTAAAAAGGAAGAAAAACTTTTTTTATTTTTTAATTATGCTGTTGGCACTTCTGGTTGCAGTGGAATGTCACCAGCATGAAAATCATTAAAGGTCAAACGTACTATTTAATTTGCATTGTTACAAATGTCTTATCTGCTTTGAAAGTAAGAACATTGAAGTTTTTACTGCCGTTGTTTATTATTTTTATAGGCAATCCCATGTAAGTGGGGAACCAGGTTGCCGAGGATATGACATCATTCCGGGTCCCACAGGCACCCTCCTCTTATGCAATTAATTATCCCGTTGCATAATTTTCCCATGCTCCATGACAATCCCACTTTCCTTTTTTTTACACTTTTTTCACGTGAAATTACCCGATTAAACCGACGTGTGATTTATCAGTTGGTATCGACCTAGTATTATTCACACCCACGAGGTCTTCAATCGAATCCGCGACTGGCTTTTTTTTAACTTACGATTAAAACACTTAGGATACTTAGGTCGAACCTTAAATTTTAAAAATATAAAAATAAGAGTTCTTACTTGAGATAGTAGAGTCGGTTATCAGCTGTCACATGGACGCTCCATCCCGGTTTCAAGTTGTCCTGTATGCTCTGTAAGTTCAATGAAGAAGCGTCGCTCGGTGAAATTTGCAAATTTGGATTCCAGGCGGATTGTAGCAACATGAGAAGGCCATACAAAGCCTGAGGAGGGCCGCGAAGGGAGTGGTCGAGAACACTTCCGTATATATCACAGTGGGCACCCTTTCATCCGTCTCGTTTTCATTCGAAACTGTACATATTCGAAACAGAAACTCTTAATTGACTTGGAACAATTTTAAAACTGTGCACACAAGATATTCAAGGGGTTTTTTTTTTGTCGGGAAGGCGGCCTCCCTTGTAGTTTTTTTTATGTCTCGGTGAAGTATGACTGCATATATTTCAAGGGCGGATAAGTCCTGAACGGATGAGCACGGAGGACATCAACAAAAACAAATTATCAGCTCACTGAGGACCGAGGGAGGACAGCAGCACTTGTTTACAGCAGAGATAAAACTGCACGGGCGCCTCTGCGGGCTGGAGATCAAGCGGCCACCCCCACCGGCGGCGCACACAGACCTGGAAGGGTGTGCGACCTCCAATCCGATTCCAGTTTCCACTCCCGCCACAAATTTGAAATTTATTCTACTTTCAATAATAAAAAGTGAACTGATATAATAACTGAAGATGATCTCAATAAAGATCGAAACGTTAGCACGATAAAGAAAATGTTTTTCTGAAACCTATATCACACCAGACCGCATCTCACGATTTCTGAATAATTATCGATTAATGGTCACTAACCACCACACATAATAAAAAGGTTACATCAAATCAAGATTAACAAAATTTAAAACATATTTGGACAATTATTATGATAATGAAAATGTTTTTCAATTAAAAGCTAGACTTGGTAAAATTAAGGAATCGTGGTCTGAATTTGAGAATACTCGTTTTAAAATTGACATGCTGGACCAAACCGCGGAATTCCAGGAAGCTCAACAATTGGAAAAGGGGATAATTTTGAAAGTCTATACTATGAGTGCGTCGGAAAGGCTGAAAGATCTATCTGACCAACATGTTCCCTCCCTCGCCAATATGAATCAGGCTGCTGTCTTCTCTTGCTAACCCTACTTCTACAAATTGTAGTGTGCCACAAATTCATATTAAGCCTTTTTCTGGAAACTGACATTTGATCCCATTCTAGGAAGTGTATAAAGCTGTCATTCACAGCAATGTCAGATTAACCGATGTTGAAAGCTGTATCACCGTTACGAAAATTAAAAAATCATTGTTGATGAGAATAAATCACCTGACTATAAAACTTGTAACAAGCAAGAATTTCCGCTCTGGGAAAAAAATCAAAGTTTTGAGGTATATTGATATAATAAGTGCATGATAGTGGTGTGTTGTGGAAGCTAGGACGTCCCTTTGTCAGTCTAGTGTTTTTTGAAGTGTTTTTTGGTGAGGTGAGGTCAATTGGATAAATATTTTGACGATTAGACAAGTCTGCTGGGTGTTAGTTTATAGCTCATATTCCCTATTGGGAAATGTGGGGCCGGAATCTCCCTAGAAACCTGGTTTCAGGGTTGGGTAAAATTTATTTAGTTTTTCACTTTTTCTTTTATCGTCATCTGTTTTTTCAATTTAGTCAAAATTTTCCAAAATCATTTGAAAGGCCCTTTCAGCCCAGTGGGTCATTCTTCGGCCCATTCTTCTAAATAGGACTCCCTCTCCTGTTGTTTTTACTTCTGGTGCAAGGCATTTTATTATTTGTAGATCAGATGGGAAAGATAATGGCAGCCTTCACTCACTGTCGCTAGTAAGAATATGTAGAGTAATAAATAGAAAAGTAGGGAAAGTAGTAAACATAAAAAAAGGTCGTGGCTGTTTAATTTATATCAAAACGTTCAATGAGGAACAAGGTAATAAAATAATGAAAATTAAGAATTTAGAAAGTATACCGGTAAAAGTTGAAAGAAATGTAAAATTGAACACCTCAAATTTCTTGCTGGGACTGTTAGAGCATTATTCAAATTCAACAAGTTAGATCAGGAATCTGCTGAGGGCCTCAGAAAATTATGACAGTTTTCTCAGAAGCTAAATAAATGAGACACTCTTTTAGTCTGTATGATATCATCCAAACTTACAAATAAAGGCAAACTGCTTCTGCCTCGAATGAATTAAACGCTATGGCTGACATTAAAGAATTTTTGCACTAAAGATTCCACTCCTCAACAATTAATCGTGATATTGCCAATTTTGTAGTAATTAATTTCCCTAGCATTTTTATTTTATTTATACATTGCATTAAAATTTATTAGAAATTATTGTTTTTTACTGAAGGAAACATTAATTATAAGGGATTTTGTAAAATAACAAAATAAAAGGTTTTAATTCCATAATTTCGTTTTGTTGGACACAATAATTTTTTTAAACAATTAACACCATGCATAATGTCCTCTGCTAGCTAAAACCTCTGAGCACCTGTTAGGCTACTGTTTTTTCCCTCCCTTCAGTAGCCCTGCAGGAAGGGATTTTATTTTATCAAATCTACATGTTCCATATAAATATTACGTGTTTACTGCAGAGTAGAGCATATTAATTATGCATTAAATAAAAATTTAAACGTGAAATTTGAAATGATAGCTTTATATTTTTTTTCATTGAAACCTCTGTTTATTAATTCAAGTCCAAGTCCAATTTGTCCACAAAACCAACAAATACGTTCATATTCTCGCTCAGAAGCAATTCATATGGAGGAACCGGCCAGCCTCTCCCTACACAAACGAAGTGCTGTATTAGCTGACTCCTTTCTCTTTCCTAAAGTGGACAAAGAAAAACTATATACAAACAATGGCAAAAAGGAGGGAAAATTCAAAAGATGCGGTTGAGATGGGAAGTTGGTGTCCGAGGGGATCGAAGTCACGATAGCTCAAGTGGTAGAGCAGTGGCGTATCTGGCTGAAGATCGTGGGTTCGAATCCCGCTCGTGTGATTGACTTTTTTTATCTCAACTAAAAACCTTAATTAATTGTAATATATTAATTGGTCAAGCGGACCACGAAATTAGCGAATTTAAAGAATTAAAATGAAGTATACTTCACTAATGTTCTCCGTGGCCATTTCATTTGTCGCCGAGAATCCAATCCGATTACATGGACATTTGAAAAAAATGGCAAAAAGGAGGGAAAATTCAAAAGGTGGGGTTGAGATGGGAAGTTGGTGTCCGAGTGGATCGAGGTCACGATAGCTCAAGTGGTAGAGCAGCGGCGTATCAAGCCGAAGNGAAGAGGATTAATAAGTGTTGACATTCATACAAATGAGTAATCCTGTAAACGTAAACAGAATATTTTATATAGATTTTTTTTAATGAAAACTTAAAATCCTGCATTATTTTCCGGACAACCCAATAAAATAACTTCAACCTAACCGCAATTATTTTAATAATTCCGTATAAATTAAATTTGAATTAACACCTAATGAAGGAATAAATGAAATAATACTGATTTAGCTTGAATGAATTTTTTAAAGTGTAATTGTATTATCTCTGTTATTAATACGTTTAGAGATAAACTTAAGCAACTTAAGCCATTTATAAGTATAAAATAAATAAACTTCATACTCCGCTGACCATAGAAATTTGTCTTTCCGACACATTGAACACTCCAACCAAAAGGCGATTTATTAAATTTACAACTGTATGTTTAAATTTTCGCTTTCTCACCACTGACAATTTTATAGGCATGGAACTTGGACAAATGCGTAGTATATGCTACTTTTGTTTGGCAATATTTGAAGCAAACTGGGATTCACGAAACAACCAGCAATGACTGATTGTGCCTGTATAAGAGTAATGCAAACAAAACGTGTAGCACTTAGCCAGTGTGGTTTATCATGGAACTTTTCTAAAACTGTCCTTCCTTTTGCTTTAAACAGCCTGAGGTAGCTTCATTTTTGACTAAATGAGTGTGTTAAGCAAAAATTTATCTCACTTGCCGACTTTTGTACCACCACTCATGAGTACACTATACCAATTATTCGCATATCCCTTCAATCTGCGACGTGGATAAATTAGGATTGTATGAAAAACTTAAAAAATCATTTTATAGGTGAGATAACTGCACTAATATACATGTTAAATGGAAAAAATGCCAATACAAATAAGTAAACAAAAAGCCTATTCTTTTGTCACCTTAGGCAAATATCCATTAGTAAATACACTTATTACATTTCAGTATACAAGTTATTCAAGTTTAGGAATAAACAAGTAGAATTCAAAAAGAAATGGTTCCTTCTCAACTTGATCTTTACATACAAACTTGTAATTTTGGTAAAATATTACTTATCCAGTTCTCCCCTGAGAATCATTTATTATTTGTTTTGTGTATTTTGTATGTTTGTGAAAAATAATTTGTCATTTCTGAAACTTTATTCAACGTTTTTGAGCATGGAAATTGTTTTATTCATGTCTAGCATACCAACCATAACAATAATAAAATATTATCAATCAATCAATCAGCCTAGCAAGGATAGGCAGACCAGAATAGTGCGCTTTACCCAGGAGGACATCTCACCTTCTGTGTTTGGCAAAAAAAAATTAAATAATTTAATTTCCTCCTGTGATCTACAATATAGAAGGAATTATTATTACTTTTTTTTTAATGAAATTTGGTTGTTACCAATCTTTTCCAGTCTGCCTATTCTGATTTGTGATGGTCGTAGAATTACACACTGAAGATAGCAAAATGTCTGACAGACTAACCCACCGAGAACAGGCAAATCATATTGCAGACCCCAACTGTTTTACAATAAACAATTTAAATTATAAGATTACCTCCTGTAGTCAGCAGGCTGATGAACATGTGATTTGATTGTTTTTAATCATTTTGGCTTGACTACACTTGCTGGGTTGGTCTGTCAGATGTGTTTCACCATCTCCAATGTGTCTGTGTGATTCTGAGAACTTGTCCCTTTTGTAAGGTCACAAATGCTCATCCCTTTCATAAAAGAGATGACTTTAATTAATCACACAGACCCACTGAAGATGGCAAAATCCCAAAATACTTAAAACAGATTAACCTAGCGAGGATAAATAGATCAGAATTATGCTCATACCTTGCAAACCCCATGAAAAAATCTAACTTTCTATATAGTATTTGATAAGAAAAAAATTAAATCATGAGATTTTCTTCTGTGTAAGGTGATGAACTTGTAGTTTTATCATTACCGATCATTTTTGTCTATCTAGCCTCGCTGGGTTTGTTTTAGCCATCTTCAGTGAACCTGTATAATTAATTCTTTGAAGTTAAATCTTTTTTACGTCATGAGGGGTGGAAAAACACACCCCCACTATTCAAAAAAGAGAGAACTTCACAGAATTCCAGGCATATAGGGAAATGTCAAAACACATCGGACAGACTAACCAGCGAGGATAGGCAGATCAGAATGCTGCTTATTACCCTTCAAACCCAAAAGAAGAAGTATGGAAGTTGATAATGTTTGACAAGAAAATATTTAAATCATGACATATTTTTTCTGTTATCTGCAAGGCGATGAACCTGTAATTGGTTGTCATCCATCATTTTCATCGGTTGATTATAGCCATCATAAGTGGGAATGGGTTAATCAGTCTAGATGATGATGAAGGGGTGATGAACATCATTCTGACCTCTCTATCCTCACTGAGTTAGTCTGTTAGATGTGTTTTGTCATTTTGCCATCTTCAGTGGGTCTGTGAGGTCGTCTCTTTTATAAAGACATGATGGGTAAACAAATACCCCAACATTCATAAAAGAAACTTAGCAAATACAAGATCCAGACTCACTAACAATTCAACCAGTACAGTCAACAAGCGTCTGATAGTATTAGACAAATTTGGTCAAGGAAAAACAAAACTTTACTTCTTTTGTATAAAAAAGGTCAAAATCTGATATCAAATAGACATGGTTAAAGCCACGTTTTCATTGTTCATTTTGGCTCTTTACTGACAAATAACCAATAACTACCACAGCACAGTTTCCATGTTGGACATCATCCACAAGTTGCCAAAAATTCGCACACAATACTGCAACCATGTTGGCGCAAACATTGTCGCAAGTTGTCCTATCGCTCGTGGTGGACTTTAAACATTTCACTTAGTATCAAAACTTGTAATATTTTGAAATTTTGCCAATGTAAACAACCTACATGGAATGAAACTTAAGGGGCTGTAAACGCCTTGTTCAAACATTCAAAATATTCGTTCACTTACATGAAAACGAAAGCATAGTTTGATTTTTAATAATAGAAATATTTCCTTAACTTAAAACAATTTTTACATAGTTATTATACCTCAGAGTCGTTGATTGAAGCCTGAGTCCTTGTTTTTGTCTCTGTTTATTTTACCAGTTTATTTTAATCATAACGAATGCACCGTGGTCGATTCCAGAGCTTGGCATTTCCAGAAAACATATTCTGCTCTTGGTCGAATTTTAAATCCAAAAAATTCGACAACAAATGGAGAAACCATAGCTCACCTGAGAAATATTTCCACGCGATTCTCAGATTCGACAAAATTCAGGAAGATTAAAAATAAATAAAAATAAGACTTAAAAAAACAACAAAAAATTGTGTATGCTTTCAAAATAACACTTTGGGAAGAGTAAATGGGAAGGTTGCACTTCACAGTGTTATACAGCAAGCAGCATGCTACCTATTGCTACAAAGTTGCTACTTCAAAGTTCTTTGCCTTACTATTTTTATTTTGTTTTTGTTATTTTGTTTTATTTCAAAAATTATACTATAAGATTTTGCAAATTATTGACTTGAAATGTTTATTTTAGTTTTGGGGAGAGGGGCGGTTGACCATGGTTGGCCATTGACCCTCAGACTTCCGAACCCGTTTCAAGGGGTATATAATTTAATTTTGTTTTTAATTTTAATTTTGTTTTAAATTTGTAAATTTTGTTGATAATACTCAACAATCAAAACTAAAGTCCAAGAAATTTCCTCAATTATATTCAAAAATAATTAATCGTCAACCTTACTGGCCACGGTTTACAAAAACTAAAATAAAATGAAAAAAATGAAAAGTTGGCGCTTGGCTGGATGAGAAAAAAGAATGAAGCTTCTCGTACGTCAACATTAGTTCTGAATCAATAGATCTTTTAGCATTTTATTACAATATCGATTCGGTGAACACCAAAATCTAAATTTTACTTTTGAACTTGAGAAAGTTTTGCAAAACATTTCAACATTACAGCATGAATTTTTCTCTTTTTCCAAGAAACTCTAACGAATAATAATTGTTATTTCATACAGAAATACATAGTTTATACACTATTGTCAACATAACAAGACATTGATATTTTTTTCTGTTTATAATAGTTCTTTGTAGTTTAGACTTTGATAATTTTCGATTAAATTGATTGCTATACATATTCCTAAATGGATCCATCGATATTCCTAAATTCATATCTCTATTTACATATTGATTACATTGTTCTGTTAATTTTTATATCGATTATTTCGTTTTGGTAATATTTTTTTACAGTTGGAACCATTATCTCTGTCTTGGTAATTTTGATATCGATTATATTGGTTTTTATACATATGCATACATTTCTAAATCGATACTACAGATAGTCCTAAATTCATATCCCTATGTGCATATTGATTAAATTTGTCCGTTACTTTTGATATTGATTATTTCGTTTTGACAATAATTGTTTTTTATACTTGAATCTTTTTGAATTATATCCCTGCTTTGGTAATTTTGGTATAGATTATCTTGTTTTGATAACAATATTTTTTTGACATAGATATTCCTAAATCGACATCCCTATGATATAGAGTGCCTTGATAATAATCACTTTTTTTACATACATATAACTAAATCGATATCCCAATTTGGTCCTTTTCATACAGGTTACAATGTTTTGCTAATAACCTTGTTTACACATAACTAAATCAATATCACTTTTTTGCTCATTTTGATAGTAATAGTGTTTTAGACTTAGATATTCGTAAATCGATATTTTTTGCAATTTTGATTGCTAATAGATATAATATTGTGACAATAATTTTTTTAAGACATATGTATATATGGCTAAATAGATTCGACATATTATATTCTTATATTGATATCCCTATTTCGTTATCGATTATGTTGTTTTGTTAATAATCGGTTTTTAGTCTTGGATATTCTTAAATCAATATCCTTGTTTCGGGAATTTTGATATCGATTATGTTGTTATGATAATAATCTGTTTTTAGTCTTGGCCATTCCTAAATCAATATCCTTGTTTTGATAATAATTGTTTTTCAGACATATATAGTCCTAAATTGATATGTCTGTTATAATAACAAATTTTAGACATAGATATTTCTAAATCGATATTCATTCGATACGACATCGATTATGTTGTTATGATAATAATCTGTTTTCAGTCTTGGACATTCCTAAATCCTCTTGTTTTGAGAGTTTTGATATCGATTATCTTGTTTTGATAATAATTTTTTTCAGGCATGTATAGTCCTAAATTGATATGTCTCTTATAATAACATCTTTTAAACATATATATTTCTAAATCAATATTCATTCGATATGATATCGATATGTTGTTTTGATAATAATCAGCTTTTAGTCTTGATATTCCTAAGTCAATATCCTTGTTTTGAGAGTTTTGATATTGATTATCTTGTTACGATAATATTTTTTTTTTAGACATATATAGTCCTCAATTGATATGTCTGTTATAATAATAAATTTTAGACATAGATATTTCTAAATCGATATTCATTCGATACGATATCGATTATGTTGTTATGATAATAATCGGTTTTTAGTCTTGGACATTCCTAAATCAATATCCTTGTTTTGAGAGTTTTGATATCGATTATCTTGTTTCGATAATTTTTTTCAGACATATATATTCCTAAATTGATATGTCTGTTATAATAACAAATTTTAGACATAGGCATTTCTAAATCGATATTCCTATTTTGATATTGAATAAATAAATATAATATTGTATACATATGTGTGGTGTTTAGTGACCATTTCTTGATGATTATGTTTTTTACATACATGTACTTAAATTGATATACCTTTTTTGTTCATTTTGACATCTATTTTATTGTTTTGATAATAACGATTTTCATACATGTATATTGTTACATATCGATGACTTTTTTTGATGATTTTAATATCACACCTTAGTTTAATTGAAAGTATTCACTGCAAGGTAAATTGTGATATTTTTGAGTATGATTCTGTTAAATTTAAACAGGTAGGTTCGTGCCTTTAATATTATATATGTACAATCTTTGCAGGATAATGCTGTTTGTACTTTTAGGCATAGTTGTTTCTCATTTCTCGGATAGAACATATTATGTAAATACATGTCAAGGAAATGTAATAAACAAAGGATCATAAAACAAATTTCTGTTAAAAAATATATATATATTCTTCTTACGTACATTATTGATCACCATCCTTGTTCTTGGCAGAACGTCGTTGAGTTGATTGTTGCCCCCCCTCGGTAGAGCGAAAAAAATGGTGATCCATAACCACAGTCACCATAATTTTAAGATTATGTTTTGACAGCGACCATTGTAGTTACATCGTCGATTTTTCCTCGCATGGAAATATGCACACAAGAAATTAAGAAAGAAATTTTTGAGTAAGGAGAACACTAATTTCGAGTTCGCTTTAGCAGTCATCACTCCAACAGCTTTGCTTAGTGACTTTAGTGGTTTACAAGAATGCCAAAATAATATACAAACCAACCACTGAAGGTAACAACATGCCGAAACTGTTAGAGTAAACAGACCTTGATTGGAAACGATCATAGTATAGATTCGTGTCCCCCTGTAGACCTTAAGAGGAAATATCACAAAATCTTTGAATAAAAAAGGATGTTATTTCTTTTCATTAGGGAACCGGGCTAACAGTAGTGTCTCTTGTTCATTTACAGACCATAGCTTGATCCTTAAGTTCGTAAAGATTAAATGAACTTATAGCAGCGATATTTAGTTTTTATTTTCATCGCATTGCCTCACCATTTTTAAAAATAATGTGTGCTGTTTAGTGACCGTTAATCGATATTTATTTAGAAATCGTGAGATGCGGTCTGGTGTGATGTAGGTTTCAGAAAAACATTTTCTTTATCGAACAAACGTTTCGATCTTCATTGAGATCATCTTCAGGGCCTGGAATTTATAAACATTGTTTAAATTTTACAAATACATGTAGGATGTGAAAAACATATATTTTCATGTATACACGTATTTGTAAAATTTAAACAATATTTATTTAGAAATCGTGAGATGCGGTCTGCTGTGATGTAGGTTTCAGAAAAACATTTTCTTTATCGTGCCAACGTTTCGATCTTTATTGAGCTCATCTTCAGGGACATGTTTATAAATCCCAGGCCCTGAAGATGATCTCAATAAAGATCGAAACGTTGGCGCGATAAAGAAAATGTTTTTCTAAAACTTACGTCACACCAGACCGCATCTCACGACCTCCAAATAATCATTTAAAAAGAATTTTAATGCATACCCTCTTTAGGAAAACTGTAATCGTAGAAGGCGGAATTTTTTTGTATTTTGTATTTTTCCCCCTGTTTTCAGCGAGGGCCTTTCATTTATCTATTCGACTTCGCCTGTGCCATTCAAATCCAATTCCCAACGTCCTGATATCACGGTCGTGCCGCATCCGGATGAGCCGTACGATTCGCATTTACAGCCTCTAAGAGACATTTTATAAATTACGAGGAGAAAAAGCACAGGGTACCGCATTTTGTTTGCAGTGGTAACAATGCAACATCAGTGATCAAAGCCCACAACGGAACCATTGCTTTATTAAAAAAATTTTGCTTGGATCGCCCAACTAAAATATATTTTAAATAAAAAGGAAGCAAGTGATACGTAAGCACTTTACATCAACGGAAATTTCGAATCTGGGAAATACGTCTGTGGAGGTTGATCGCATTGAGACGGCATTGAAACACCTGTGAAATTCAAGTTAATTTCATGTGAATTCGTCCAAATCCATTGCAAAGAAGTGCCATCTTGTTAGAACTTTACTTGATTCATCTTAAATATTGTCTGCTGTCATCTTTCAACTACAAAAATGGCTAAAGTGTCTGCACTGCGCCCATAAGATAGGACTATGCTTCAGGCTTTTTATTAGCCATCATATTCGTGATAGGTATTATATTAACCCAATTCATCAAATCTTTGCTCATGGGTCACTCTTGGCAGAACATACACAGTTTTATGATTTCACTCCCAGTATTTTTATATGCGTATTGTCGTAACATCTAAGTCACCTGCTTCTGCCCTGGGGTGCTGTTCCGCCAAGTATGGATGGATCCACTTGGCAGTTAGTTCTTTTTTATGGGTTTGAAATAAGGGGGGGGGTTGATTCGTGTTGTTGATGTGGCTAATTTAATAAAGACAACGATGAAGCATACTTGTAACAAGTCTTTCTTCGACCAGCACGAAGTAGGACTTTTTTTTTTAAATAAAGTGCTTAAGGTATGGGTTATTAGGATTCACTAAATTTTATTAAATACTAAAACAATGTCTTAAAGAATTTTCGTTATTAAAAAACAAATTGTAATTACATAAACGACATCGATAAATTTGTAAGGAGGTGTGGCACTGT